ATATCACACCAGCAAAAATTCAAAAACTTGACAATATATTGTTAGTGAAGCTGTGGGGAAAGTCTTGCATATTGCTGCTGGAACGTGAAACCTTTACGGAAAGGCAACATTAACAAAACTACAGGTGCATATATCCTTTGATTTAGTAATCCCACTCCTAGGAATCTACTCTGCAGATTTAACTTAAACAAAACAGAATTATATATGAAAGGTCACTCATTGTAGTATTATGTATATTTTTGCAAAATATTAAAAATTATCTAAATGCTCATGTATAGAAGATTCATCAGTTTAACTGTGGCATCTACACACCAAGAAATACTACCAAAAAAAATAAAAAAATAAAGGAGAAAGATGTCCATGAACTTACATGGAGTGATTTATGAAGAGAAAAAGGCAACATGCATTAACAATATGTACATGTGAAATAGCTAATAAGCACATAAACAGATGCTCAACGTCACTGTCCTTATGAAATGCAAATTAAAACTGAATGAGATACCACTTCACACTTACTAGAACATCTGTAATTTGAACAAATGATACAGATGTGATGGAAACAGGAAACCCTTAAATGTTACTGGTAATGTAAAATGAAATGTCCATCCACTATTACATGGGTAAAGAAATATAATATATAATGGAATACTATATGCTATGACATGGATTAAGCTCAAAAACATTCTACTATGCAAAAGAAGTCAGACTCAAAAGACAACATATTGTATGATTCTGTTTATATGAAATGTCCGGATAAGGACCAAAAGTAGCTAGTTTTGCCTAGAGCTAAAAGTGGGAACAACGAACGATGAACTGCAACTGGGCATAAGGGACTTCATAGGAATTGTGGAAATATTCTAAAATTGGATTGTGATCAGGTTGCACAACTCCAAATTTATTAAATATAATAGTACACTTAAGATGGGTAAATTTTGTGGCATTAAATTATACCTCAATGATTTTTTTTTAAAAAAGGACATGTTACTTTTAAACGTAAAGTATGCATCAATAAAACTTTTTTTTTAAAAAAAAGAGCATTTATATAAGGTGACCAACTATCCCAGTTTGCCTGATTGTCCCTGTTTTGGCACTAGAAGTTCTGTCCCCCGAGAAGCCTCTGGGTCCTAGGCAAATTGGGATGGTTGGTTCCTGAACAGGTACACTACCTTCTGTGTAACTACGGGAAAAACAGAAAACCTACATTTATTGTTTTCCTTCATAAAAAAAAAAAACCCAAAAACAGTGAACATGGACACCTACAAGGGGTGTGGAATGGGGCAGAAGGGATATGAGAGAAAGTTAAACTTCTCTGAGTATATGTTTGGTATAGTTCTGACTTCTAGAAGCATGTTAAGGTTCTACATATTTTAAAAATAAAATTAAATCAACAAGGATGGGAAGGGGTTGGGGGAAGAAACTTAAACCTGAATGCAAACTGAAAAAAATGAACTCAATTGTATTTCAAATAGAAAACATAAATCACAGTGAAGGGAGGGGAAAAAGTAATCCAGGTTATCTATATAAACACATGATGTAACCATATTATCCTTAATTTGGGGCAGGGTACAGGTAAGCAAATCTTGCTTTTCAGTGACATGAGAAAAAGCAATTCTAAAACCATTTTAGATATATTACAGGATTGAGAGAGTAAATAAATCAATTGATTATTGAGGGATCCAGGATTTTGAGGACGAGACATAGAAATACGGAATGGGGAAGCTGAGAAAGAACCCTGTGAGGATGGATTGCAACTGGAGGTATTGGTGTAAACTCATGATTTCTAAAATCAAACACAAGTGCATATGAGCACATGTAAATGTAGTGTACACACATTATTTGTATGTGTATGCAGCACAGTCATCCTTTGGTGCCTGTGGGGGATTGGTTCCAGGACCTCGAGGGATACCAAAATCCAGATACTCAAGTCCCTTAAATAAAATGACATGGTATCTGCCTATAATCTATACACATCCTTCCACATACTTTAGTCTATAGATTACTTATAATATCAAATACAATGTAAATGTTATGTAATTAGCTGTTATAGTGTATTTTTTATTGTTGCATTTTTTATTTTTTCTGAATATTTTCAATTCCCCACTGCTTGAATCCAGAGATGTAGAACCCACAAATGTGGAACCCATGGATACAGAGAGTTTACTGTACATACATGACATTTTCTAGATCTGTCTGCTGAACAACCGAGAAGCAAACACCCAGTAGCAATGAGCAGACCCAGCATCCACAGCTAGGTATCTAATGCAATTCCCTAGGGTCCTATGGAGAAATTGCTAATTCCAGATCTTAGAATATCTTTTATGTAAGATAATAAGTGCTTTAAACAAAATCATAGAGGGTAAAAAGAACACAAGAGCCAGCTTGAAGGAGTTCCTGTTGGTCAAATTTAAGACAATTTGAGCACCAAAGTAATGAATTAAAAACCAGTGGGGGAAAAAAATAGAAAAAGCATGAGTATATAACAATAACAGACATAAGAATTTAGGTGGCCCTAGATATATGGATGAATGGATGGATGGATCAAAAGAAAGAGGGCTCCTGCTTACACAAGAATGCTGACAGACAACTGGTACATGTGGAAAGCATACTGAAGTTGGAAAATCATCATCTTGCAACTACTAAAGACAAGAATGCATAAGCAAGAATCATAAATAGATGCTAAGTCCTGGGGGAAAATGTTAGCATGGACTTAAAAGTCTTCCAGAGATTATTAGTTACAAGGTAAAAAATAACAACTATACGTTGAAGAAACTGAACACCACCTTGGTCAGGTGACCCAAACTAGCATCATCAATAAGATGGGCATTGTGTGCTCCCATGTCATGTCCTGATGATGCTGTACTATCAATGCAGTATTCTGACCAAGAATACATAACCTCAATCTGATCAGCAGGAAACCCAAAATGAGAAACATTCTATGAAAAAGGAAGGGCAAGGAGAGAGAAGATTATAGTCTTCAAAAACATGTCAATGTCATGAAAGACAAAGATGGCTACGGAAATGATCCAGAGTAAAGGAGTCTCAAGAAAGGGCAATGGAACAAGTAAATGATAAAACTGAGACGGTAAAATTTGAACAACAGGTAAATCTGAGTAAAAGCAATATGGATATTCTTTGTACTATTTTTTGAAATTTCCTATTTGAAATTATTTCCATATAAAAAGTTTATAAAAAGCAATTAGAAGGGACTGATACTGGGTTGACAACTTCATGTTTTACCCAATAAAGTTATTAAAATGCAATCATTAAAAAAATCACCATATATCATATTGATTTAAAAAAAAGTGTGAGAAGGCATTTTAAATATCCAAAATAATGATATCCAAATACAGAATAATCCTTTAAAATTAATAAATTTAGATTTATGAAAAAAAAACATTGTCCTATTTAGTCTCATTTTCCTGTGGACAAAAGAGAGGTGTGAGAACTAGTATCCTAAACAAGGTATATTTTTGGCAATGAACAGTTCAGTGGAAAGAGATGGAATCTGAACACCAATGAATTTAAACCCTGGCCCTAAGCAGTTACCAGCTGTGTGACCTAAGCTCTGTTTCCTCAGCTGTAAGGCAGATAGCTAAGTCACAAGACTGTTAAGAGAATTATATATATATCTATCTAGAATACCGCCCAACACAGAGAAGGTGCTCAACAAAAGGTCTCCTATTCCTTTCCTCTGAAGCCCCTTTCCTGTTCTTTGGAGATGTATCTGAATGTGGCCACATTGGTCCTTTCTTCATTGACACACAATGAGCTCTGCTGGAAGGATAAGAAACTGAAGTATTCTGAGAATAAGCCTGCTTTCTGGAGATATATTTCATGAATTTAAGCGAGACATATTGGATAGTGGAATGAAAAGACAGAAGACTAATAAAAACAGGTGATTTGAGGCATGCCTTGTAACTGGTGAGTTCTTTTAAGGAGATTAAAGACAAGAGTAGGGATAATGATAGTATTTGCTTTATGTTAGAAGTGTGTGCTGCAAACAAAACAGTATCTTTTTTCCTCATATGTTCACAAGTCTATTATGCAAATGACCATCCATCTACTTCTAAAAGTAAATGATAGTTTATGCCAAAAACAAATAGTAAAGATCACCAATTCTACTTGTTTTACTGGCTATGTATCTTTGAAGAAAAAAATAATTAAGTCAGTAAAATGTCCATGAATTATGAAATTTCATACATTTTTCTATTGGTTTTTTGGTTCAACATATTTCCTGTTTACATTTAACTGGAGGATTTACTTCTATGTTGTCAATGATAGTAATTCTTTAAAAATTGATTTTTTAAAATGGAGAAAAAATAACTAAATAATTGCACTTACAGCAAAAAAAATATACTTCCAACAGAAATTTAGTTCAACACTTAAAATCTTTATAAAAGATAAATAAATTCTGATTTTCCCTTTATTTTGTACTTTAAAAATGAAATCACTCAACATGAATACTTATTATATAGTTTCCTTAAAACTTCTTTATGGTGAAACAAAACTGTACATATTTTAAAAGTGTGTAGAATATTAACACTTATGACAATTTCAAACCAACTACTGGAATAATGTCAAAGTACTATTAATTGAAGCTATTTTGGAGAAAAAACTGTGCAAAGCTTATTAGGGCCTAGCATACCAGAAAAACTTAATTTTTCAGATTCAAATGTACATAGTCACAGTTTAAAAAGTGGCATTATAGTCTGAATATACTACAAGTTGCTATCTCTTTCTCGTAAGTCTCTTAAAATAGGGTGCAAATAATGTAAAAATATTCAGTACTTCATTATGTAATAACTAACAAAAATATTTCCATTGATCACTTTTTCCCTAAAGTGATTAAGGACAAAAAATAGGAATTCTTGTTGCTTTATTATTTGATAAACTGCTAATAACCTCCCGTTTGAAGTTTTTTAGACATTACACCAAGTTGTCTTGGTCTTCTGATCATATATACACACACATATATATATGCATTTTTTCAAGTAAAGAAATGTTTAACAGATGTAAACTATTTATTGAATATTTGCCACCAAATATTGTTAAATACATTATCTTGCAGCATATCGCTTTCAAGTTAAAATGTCAGAAACAAACACCAATATTTACAATTCTTTTAAGGAATGTTATATAATGACACATTAAGGCGTAAATTCTTTTGGCTTATAATTCTTAAAAGAATGATAATAGCAAAAGTGATGCAAAATCTTCAGTGTGAGATTATGATTAAGCTACATTTTACAAAAATATGGTGTAAGATGGCAATAATCCCATTCAACATCCTGGATTAGATCCCTTCAGGAGGGACTGATAATTTATACAGTCAAACTTTAAAATTTACAGATAAAGGCAGTTCAACACTGCCACTGAGAAGTACATCTCTTAACATATACAACTTTCAGGCCACAGTTTTGAAGGTCTGAAGTATTAAGTTGGTTTGATGAATTAGTCGGTTGGCACTTATGAACACATTTATTGCCCTGTTTAAAAAGAAAAAACAAGCATTATTTTCATTCAAAACATTCACCCTTTTAAAATATTTATACTTAATGTCATCTATTAACAGTAACAATGAAATTAATCTGGGGGAAAAAAAGATAAACTGGTATTAAGCATAATAACTTTCACTCCAATTTGGGATTTAATGGTCCTAAATCATTTGAAACTATCTAGGAATTACTGCCCCCTGGTGGTTCTGGCTGAAAATAAAGTGTTGGAGGGCTGCTAATGGTAGGTGGCACCTCAAGGACCAGAGTTCATTTATAGGTCAAACAAATAACTAACCAAAAGGAAGATTCAGATGTGGTCTTCAGCTGTGGTTTCACAGACTAACAAATAAAATCTGGTAAAATATTTTACACTCAGTCTCAAAATCTGTACATCAATGGGCATGACAAATACTTAAGAAAAAGTTAATTACTTCCAATCTGATTCAATTCACTCTCTCTTTCAACCCCCCCCCCAAAAAAAAAAACACACAAGAAAAAAAATGGGTGGGAATGATAAACTATAAACTACTTTTAGAATAATCTACTTTTAAAACAAAATAATCATATAATTTCAGTATCTTGGACCTGACAATATATACGAATATGTTCTTAAAAATTACTTGGTGCTCCACCACATTCTCCTAATGGCTTAGCTCCATGTGACTGGAATACAAAGCTGATGCCCCAGTCCCATTGTTGTGGCCTTATCAATTTCTTAGTATCATAGGGAGAGCTTGTATCTTTTATCCCAGACATTTCTCGACAGGGACCAGGAAGAATTAGTTGAACCAATGCAAAGTCATCCCCCTGCTGAAAGGTGGCTTAAAGATTGGGCTCTATTAATAAGTTTCTGTTTTGAGGAAACAAGTTTAAGACTTATGGCACATTATTCATCCACAAAGAAATGGAATTTTAAAAAGCTTTTCAATGGCGAAAAAGTAGTAGCAAGCAGCCTGAGTAATCCATAAGTGGGAGTACATAATTTCAAATGAATGAAAATTAGGCTCTAAATTAATTTCTATCTTTCAATGTACTTATTCCATAATAGTAACAAATTAGTATAAAAAATAATGATCCCATCATGTAAATTATTCTTTTAATGTGGGTTTGTTTATTTGGGCTTAGTATAGGAGATCAAGGAAAAAAAAACAAAAGTTAATTTTCAAAACACAGCTGCTAGCTTATTAAACTAAGTCATCAAGGAGCCTTTCCCCTAAATAACCTGAATGGTAGTACAGAACAACAACATGAAACCATCAATAAAATTTAGCTCAATATCTTTCTTAATATAATGTAAATATTTCAACTTGTTTGAACTGTTGAAAATGACACTGAAAATTAACAGAATTCCAACTAATGATTTTATTATTTTTAAATATTATTACAATAATATTGTAATGGTGTGACCTGTATATGGGGATCTTAAAACTCGAATGGTAGAATAGGATGTTTCAATCCTCTATGTAGATTATTTTTCGAACTGTGAGCACTATTAGAAAATGGCCTTGTCCACAAAATTCTAGCATTCTATTTAAAGTACAAAGAACTACCTATATGATATACTACAGAAATTACGGCCTCTGCATCAGTTTATACATTACATGTATGTGTGTAGGTATGCAAAAATACATAAAATCCCTTGGCTTTCTATAGTGTTCTTCAACCAAATGAATGTATATTTAAAAATAACATCCAATTTACATTTTTAGTATACTTCCTATTTTATAGAAGGATGCTACGAAAGCCAATTTAAGTCTCTCTCCTTCCAGGATAGCAGATCGAAATCCTTATAGCACTTTAAAATTATGTGGAGCACTTTTACAAAACATCTACACCACAGCTCTACTCCAGGCCAACTGAATCAGAATCTGTGGAGGGGCCTATGAGATTTTTAAAACCTAACCAGAAGTAATGTGCAGACAGGATTAAGAACCACTGCTTTAACCTTATGCAGTAGTTCTGAACAGAACTGCCACATCAATATCATCTGAAAACCTCTTACAAATACAAATTCTTGGGCCCTACACCAGACCTACAGAATCAGAAATTCTGGAGGTGGGGCCCCTTGAGCAATTTGCAATTTGAGCCTTAACAAGCCCTCCAAGTGAATTATGCTACTAAAGTTTGAGAACCACTGCTTCAGAAATGGTTAAAATAGGCCAGTAAACTAAAAATGCTTTTATATTTTTAAATGGTAAATAATAATGATAAAATGAAAAGGATACTATGTGACAGCTGAAAATTATACAAAATTCAAATATCAGTTTCTATAAAGTATTATTAGAACCCAATCACACCTACTCATTTCCATTTTATCTATGGCTGCTTCTGCACTCCAACAGCAGAGGTGAGGTTAGCAGTTGTGACAGGATCACCCAATCTAAAATATTTACCATCTGGCCCTTTTCAGAAAAAGTCTGACAACTACTGCTCTAGAAGTTATGGCTGAATTGGCAACCATTTATTTTCTATTTTTAATGGTCTGCCTTGGTTATCAGTTGCCTTGAGTACCAACAATAGAGTAAAAGGGCTTAAGTTATATGATTTTAGTATCACATAAAATGACATCTATTTAATTTTTAAAGAAAAGGATAAATGACAGTACTTACTTGCCATCTTTAAAATATGTTTTCAGAGTATCACTGAAACTTTTGGAGTACTTTACAAATTCTTTCTTTTGGTGTTCAAGTGCCTACAGACATGAAAAATAATAAGAAAAAAATACTAAATAAGAGAAATAATACAAAAGCCAAAGTCAAAGACAAGAGACTATACATAATAGGGGAGGCACTTTATATTACAAACAAGCATTTTTGGAGTATTTAAAGACATAAAACAGCATATTTAAATTCACGGATAAACCCAATGGCTAATGACACACAACTATTTCCAGTAATCAAATCCCCTTAGTATTTAATTCAATAAGACAACTAGACTAAACCAACATTTAGGGAGGCAACCATCAAGGCTTCTACTAAACTTACCCTGCGATTCTGGTATTGATATTTCTTAAAGACATTATTCACTGTATCAAGAAGTTCTTTTATTGCACTAGCTATATCCCTGTTGGAAAAGGAAAAAAAATCTTTAACATCAGCTACATTTGAAACAAATTTGTCTACATATATTTTAAGAATTACTAATCACAATATACTCTTAATTACTCTATGTATACTTCACAAAGAGCCAACCTTTGGCTAGCTGGTGGAGTAGGTTTTAGCCTGTACCCTGCTATGATCCTGATTCTCCTGACCAAAGATTGACAACTAACACCAATTTTCCCAAATCAATCACATTTCACTCAGCATTCCTCACTCAAATTTATAAGAAGGTAAACATATCTAAGCATGTCTTTTCCTGTTTTTTATTTTTTTTATTTGTATTTTCTCTGGTTTAATGTAGCTGAATTCAAACTATAATAGTTTGTCCACTTTTGTTAACTTGAACAATTTGTTAGTGAACAATTTTATGGAATTTTACATTACATGTAACACTTTTCTGTATTTAACAATACTACCTGTCAGATACCTAATAAGTTTAAATGTTTAACAGAAAACATTTCCTCCTCAGAGAAAATATTCCTCTTCCTCTTCTCTCTCCCACACCCTTACCTTCTATCTATCAAATAAATATCTTCCTCTTCCAAACTTTTTGCTGTCAGGTCACTATTTCCTTTAGAAGGTATATTTAAATTGCTGGGAGAGAAAATATCAAAATATATTCTACCTAAACCCTTTCTAGCAATCATTCTTTGACTATATATGTATCAACACCTTTCTCCCCTTTCTAAAGAGAGAAGGAGAAGAAATCAATAATTCTCATTTGAGTTCACTTTTCATCCTGTCCACGTACAATATTTTCTGAACTTTTCTTGTCTTTTATATCTATGCCCTTTTCAGTGTCCACATTCTAACTTCATAGCAATTTTTTTCTGTCAAACTTAACTTTATGTGATTCTACATTGTCAAATAGCCTGACAATCTCTAAGACAAGTCTTTTCTTTTTCACATCCATTCTCTTAGCTGTTAGTCACTACAAAAACTTTTGTTGGTCAAATGCAATGCAAGACCATTCCAAGACCAATTTAAGTAAGACCATCCCAAATATTTATTTTTAAATATATTTTTTAATTTAATTACTGATTTTTCAATTACAAATGTCAGATTTCAGATATTTCATATCTAAAACATTTTAGCTTTATTTTATTTCAAGAAAGAAAAAAAATCTCAGTGTCCAGGTTTCTGTGCATATGTGTGTGTTTCTCAGCATCTTTTCTGATAAATAAGCATGTGGAAACTCTATGAATTAAAAGCATATAAGATTTTGGTATAAAAAATAGCCTATCCTGAAGTAATAATATTTTTATTAAATATTTCAATACTTATTGCCTCTTGTATCTCAAACATTGGTATTAGGCTGCAACATTAAATATTACATATTCAAGTAGGACAATAAATTTTACATAACTATCTGTCCAATCATTTTTTGCCTCTGTTAACAGCAGTTATTAAGTTATATAACTGTTCATTTATGCTTTTAAGCAAATTGAATCCCTCTGTACTGCTTGATGGACAAAATCCACCACTGTGTAATAAAATGGTGTGATATGACCATACTATTACCTGAGAAAAACTACAATTTCAACAAATAAAAAATGTCAAGTATAAATATGCGAAGTTTTTCAAATCCACAAGGAAAATTACACAGTGATCAGACAGTTAGCTGTTTATATATAGTCTTACTTGGTAGTATATTTTAATTTTCTGTAAAAGGGGAATATAAAAATGTGCCTTCAGTACTAATCATCATGATAAACATATCTTCCATACACAATGATAATGGCTGGATTCTACAGGTCAAAAGAGTAGTTCTGAATCAGGTTAGTGAACTCATCTAGGAAGGAAAAAAAAAAAGGTGTGGGAGGAGAAGAAAATGGACAGTTTTGCTGGACCCTACCCCAGACCTGCTGATAAATACTGGAAATCTGTACTCTAAAAGGGGTGTGGGGAAAACACTCCCCCAGGTGATTCTGCTGATAAGTCACATTTGATCTACCCAATTATTAAAAAATGTGAGGCAATTTGTGCAAATACTGTTATCTGTATGTAAACAGAAAAGCATTTTCATTTATGGCACCAAGGTTTGTACTAGGGAAGCTAAATTATATTAGTAATTTGTTTTCTACAAGAAAAAATACCAGCACAAAAAATACTACAGACAATTAACCAGATGAGGAATTTTAAAAACTTGAAGGTAAATAACTATCATGTAATTATGCAGCTTGAAATTGATGAATTCTGTGGTAAAGGGCAGATAGTATGAGTAGAATGGAAAAGAGTTTAGCAATTTGCAGCTATTTAGTAGGGCAACTTTTGGGAAACATGTATGCTGAAAGACAAAGGCATTAGATGAAATGTAAACATACACCTTATCAAAAAACTAAATGGAAAAGTAGAGCTTCTGATTGTGCCAGCTGTACTGTATGTTTAGTTTGGTTTAGACTGGACAAGTCTGAAAAATCTATACTGAAGCTATCATGAAAACTCCTGACTTGAAATAAACCCTGGTGAATTTTAGCTTAAGAATATGAAATGCAAATTACAAAGAGTAAATAGATAAATGCATGGCTTTTTGATCTATTAAGTTGCAAGTCTCCACTAGTTATCCATTAAGTGGAATGTATCAGACTTAAAAAAAAACAACTACAAATTAATTTTATAAAATATTTGCATAAGTGAAAATGTAGTCAAACAGAAACATTCATTAATCAAGAGGACTTTTAAAAATCTGCTTGCTGGATCATTTTTCCTAATCAATTGCATACAAAGAAAGTGGGAAAAATCCTTATTTCAACAATGCTAGCATGTGTCAATGAATGTATGCTAGGTTCAGTGTTAGGCACTTTATGTAAATCATTTCTTTCAATTCTCACAACTTATTACCCTCATGTACAGAAGCAGAAACAAGAATGACAGAAGCTAAACAACATATATCCAAGGTCACGCAGCTAAATCTTGGACTGAAGATTCAAACCTGCTAATATATTCTGCAAATATATTCAAAACTGCCTGAATATTTATTAGCTGTAAGGAATCTGTTTACTATTTTAATACAATCTATAGCATTACCTATAGTACCTGGTGTAGATCTTTGATATATGCTTATTGAAAAATGTTGCTAAAATAAATGGATGATAAATATAAGAAAGTAAAATATTTTAAAAAGAAACTTTAAGTTGTACATGTTGTAACTAAAGGATAAGCCATTTTCTATTTTAGTGCAATTTTACCCACTAATTTGTCAATTAACAGTGGTAACAACATATATCAAAATGTAGCAGTATACAATATAGTGATGCAAATAATTATACCATAGCCATCTATGCTATTTGCACATGGTTGAATTTTAGTCTCCGAAATAATGTATGTATCAACAAACTTAATAGGGAAAATTACCCCTCCTAAATGGTTGGGCAATAAATTTTCACTGCCATTACTCTTAATTCAACTGTGCTGAGTACACTCCAGAAAACAGAACTGAAATATTACTACTCCCACATAACTCACATAAGACCCTCATAAAGCCTATTAATGACTATGGGCAAGACTTCCTTATGACAAAAATATAGCTGTTAATAATGTGGTTTTCAAACTGTATCTTCCTAGAGTCACAGGGGATTTAGCAGAGATGTCTCAGGGACTCCACAGGGAGAAAGAGGGTGTCAAAGTAACAGGATGAGGGTTCTGGGCCTGCCATTTATACCCTAGCTTCAACCACAATACTGTTATCTCTTACAGACTGGCATTCTGTATAACATGTCCTTTACCATTTTATCTTGCTTCTTTCAAATAGCAGAAACTATTTTTTCAACATTGGGGAAAAGCTTCAGGACATTGGTCTGAAAAATGATTTATTGAGTAATATCCCCATAGCACACGCAACTAAAGTAAAACTGAACAAATGGGATCACATCAAGCTAAAACAAAGAAAGCAACCAACAAAGTGAAGAGACAATCCACAGAAAGGCAGAAAGTATTTGCAAACTACCCGACAAGGGATTAATAAAAAAAAATATGAGGAACTTCAACAACTTGATAGGAAACAATCAAATAATCTGATTAAAAAATGGGCAAAAGATCTGAATAGACATTTCTCAAAAGAAGATATATAAATGAAAAGAGATATGAAAAAAATGCTCAACATCATTAGTCATGAGAGAAATGCAAACTGAAACTACAATGAGGTATCATTTTACCCAGTTAAAACAGCTATTATCAAAAAGAAGGGCAATAACTAATGTTGGCAGAGATGTGGAGAAAGAGGAACTCTAATACATTATTTATTGGCGGTAATATAAATTAGTGCAACCACTATAAAGGCTCTTCAAAAAGCTAAAAAATACAACGATGGTATGACCCAGCAGTCCTACTGCTAGGTATATATTCAAAAGGAAGGAAATCAGTAAATCGAAAAGGTATCTGCAAGCCCATGTTTATTGCAGCACTATTCACAATAGCCAAGATTTGGAATTAATCTGAGCATCTACCAATGGATGAATGGATAAAGAAAAATTGTGGTACATATACATAATGGAATATTATATGGCCACCAAAATAATGAAATCTTGCCATCCACAACAACATGGATAGAACTGGAGAACATGTTTAAGTGAAATAAACCAAGTACAGAAACACAAATCTCACATGTTCTCACCCATATGTGGGAGCTAATTACTAAAACAATTGCTCCCATGAAGACAGAAAGTAGAATGAAGGTTATCAGAACCTGGGAAGAGTAGCAGGGAGGGGAGGATAAAGTGAGAATGGTTAATGGGTACAAAAATATAGTCAGAGAGACAGAATGAATGATATCTGATAGCGTAACAAAGTGACTATAGTCAACAATAAATTATGGTATACTTTAAAATAACTAAAAGAGTGGAATTGGAATGTTCCTAACACAAAGAAACGATAAATGCTTTGGGTGATGGATACCCCAATTACCCTGATTTGATTAATACACATTGGATGCCTATATCAAAACATCCCATGTACTCTATAAATGTATAACTATCATACACCCAAAATAATTAAAAAGAAAACTTTGTAAAAAAAACTTTTTTTCAATCACCAGATTAGATGAACAATATAAATCTATGATTGGGAAGCAGCAGAGAACACTCTGGCATCAAACTGCCTGGGTTCAAATCCAGCTCTACCACTTACTAGCTGAGCGACCTTAGGAAAAATTACCTAATTTCCTGTGCTTCAATTTCCTCATCTGTTACAGGGTTGCTGTACTAAGCTAGTATATGTATAGCACTTAAAACAGTGCTTAGCACTTAGTTCTATAAGAGCTACTGCTATTAAGATGATATTGATTGTGTAAACCTCTACTTCAATAATATGAAGCAAAATCTGAAAATATTATTTGAAATATTAAATCTTCATAGGAATGTAGCATGGCTCATCAGCAAATGTATCATTATCAAAGCAAATGAAAACTTATTAAACTATCTGAAAACTCTAGAAATAAACTATCTAAACCGGGTTTGAGATCACTGACAATTTTTCCTTTTATGGGTCAAACATGTTTATTTTAACTATAAAGGTTGAGTATCCCTTATCTGGAGTGCTGGAGTCTAGAAGTATTTCAAATTTTGAATTTTTTCAGTTTTGGAAATATTTGCACATACCTAAGGAAATACCTTGGGGATGGGACCCAGCCAGTCTCCTGGTTCTAGTTACTAAACCTGTGTCCCAAAGGCAAGAATTTGGAGGTCCACAATTTGATCATTATTAGTAAATGCTATTCACACTTAAGAGGACGTTACTTATCCTAATAACCTGTGCCATTTCTGAAATAAAAAACAATTTTGGTATCTCTTACTATCCTATGGCTTATCCAATTTCTCTATTCATTTTAATCTGACTTTTACATTTTTCAATTATTTATATAGCTCACACTTATATTCCAGTTTATACACATTTCATTAATTATTTTTAAATAAAACAGTCCATCTAAAAAATGTTATTGTACTTTGAAACCAAATGCCATAGCCTACAAATAAATATGATGTAGCATTTAAAAATTTCAAATTTTATTTCAAATTAACATTTCAACTTAATATTGATGTCATAACAAAATTAGAACATCTAGATGAGTAGTTCCTTTGAAGTACTTTTACAAAAAGATCCAAAATAAAAAATCACTTACTTGATTGTCTGCAGAAACCTCACTCTGTCATTGATCTCATCTGGGATCTTACTAAGAATTTGTTTAAGTGCTCGTGCCTTTTCATTTAGGTCTTGGAATTCTGGCTCTGGTCGTTCAATCATATACTCTGATAAAATAAATACATAATAAAAAACATTATGCAACTCTCTGCCAAGTTCACATCTAAGAATTCCCAATGTTGATCAAAGGTGGGTAGAGGAAGAAAAAGGCCAAATAAACTAGAAAAGACAAGGCTGCAAAATAGAATTCATCAGCATTTGATTTGACTTAGTCCAGTAATAACAACAGGGTTCCCTCCAAGTAAAATATTAGAAGATAAAAGACTAAATATTTTCAATTTGGGATAAATGGAAATCCCATGAAATCTGAAAAACAAAAAAAACAGATTAAAAAGGGAGGCTTTATCATCAATCCCCTGAAGATATATTCCACAAGGAAACCTTTAATTAAGTAATGATATCTATCACTTGCAAAGGCAATATATATCTGCCAATAGGAAAGATGAGTTTTATAATTTAAAACCCCTACACTGAATATAAACTGTTTATCATATTAAAATCCCAAATAACCTAATAAAATCTTTATTTAGCACATTCTTGAAATCTCACCTCAAAACAAAACCACTAACACCACAAATCCAACCTAAAAGCTAGGATCGCAGAACAGCAATTTTGAAAAGGAGGTTCAATCAGACTTCGCAGAGGGGAATATGCTTACCACCAGATTCACTGTAGACTTGGAAGCACTACAACTCTACCAATTCATCAAAATATTACATCTTAAACAGGCTGCAAATGCTCGAGTCTAAATAATGATGAGGGCTTTCTTATAAATCAGGAAATCAGTTAAAATATCTACTTTTTGTTATCCCTCAATAAACATGGGAAATTACATTATGCACATTTTTCTAAATTAGTGAGAAAACTCCTACTAAATTTAAGTGAAATCCACTTCTGATTTTAAAAAGCAAAATTCAGAAAAGCAAAAGCAATGGTTGTATTGTTCTCCTAAATCTGTGCTTAAAAGTAAAAAGATGCTATACTAAAGTTAAAAAACAAACAAAAAATTCATTATTTTCAAATTGCTATTTGCTTAAAGACAACACAAAAGAAAATAACCATTCCAATAGAACTCACCTTTTAGTAAAACTGGAACTCACAAGACATCATACAAATGGAGGAAAAAATTAAAGCATGCAGCATAAACCCTTTACTTCAAGTAATTAAATCTCACAAATATAAAATAAAAACAAGAACTATATTTCAATTTTACATAGATTTGTTTTCACTATCATCATCAAAAGTTGATGAAGAAGAGTGAAGGGGAGGGTAGGAAGATCTTTTTGTCAAGTAACAGTGATTTAGAAAAAGTGCTTTTCAACAATTATAAAACTGAATAAGGTTTTTTCTGATACCTTCTACATCATCAGCTGCCATACGAAGTAGGGATTCCGTGAAGTTAATTTCTACGCTTTTTTTCTCTAAAATTTTCATAATGATGTCTTGTGTGAGACCTGGATTTTCTTTTTCAGCCTATAAGAAAGAGAAAGCTAGTTTTGAAATATAGATTTGGAATCAGTATTTTAAAACCAAAATTTAATTGTTTAGCACCTGTTGGGAACTTGGTAACTTAGAAGGGCAGAAATCTTTAACCCTTTGCACTCGGATGTCGAGTGTGGATAAAGTCGAGTGGATAATGATAAAAAAGCAAGCGAGTGCAAAGGGTTAAATTAAAGCAGGTGTGGCATTCACTAATGTTTTTTTGTAGCTTGTACAGCAGTAACTTTTTACTATGACCATTTTCTAGTTGAATATAAAATTCTTGACAAAGATAGAAATAAAGATTGTATATACCTTAGTAATCAATTATTCATCTCATTAGTTTATATATATTGAAGATTTTTAGCTTTTTATATTAGCTAATAAAGGATCAAGCAATAACTCATCAGTATTTTGCAGATTCTTTGCATTTAAATGAACAGAATGCCAGAAAAACAACAACAAAAGAAACAGAGTTTCTTTTTCAGGTTTTATGAAGCTATATAATCCCTAAACAATTTTCCCACACAATGATTTTCATTTCCTATTTTTGTAGCAAGAAAATTCCCTTCACTAGTTCCCAGAACATCATTAATCCTTTTACTACCTTCTGAGCATGTTTCACTAATGAGTCTGCATTGGTTCTATGTTATTTAAACTCCCTAGGGCACTGAAATCTAGCCATTTCAACTGAGCAGAGTTTCGAGTTTTCCAAAGTTAATTTTCAGATTTCAATTTTCCCCAATAAATTTGTCCTCTATTTTGTTATTTTTGAAATTCTGTAATCATATTTGAAGTTTGTTTCCTTTAGAATGCCTGCCTATTTTAATCAGTTGATGATTTCCTTTCTTTTTTGCTCTGATATTCAACAGCAAATAGAAACAATTTATAATCTTATTAAAATGGCAATACTTTTGCTTTCTTGTGTGTCAAGTAGACTTAATAATAATCCCTGTTTCTTCAATTCCTCTGCTATCACTGAAGATTCAGTTTTCTTCTGTTCCTATTGCTCTTTCCATTATAACATCTTGTTTCCCATTAGATCTCAAGTATCAAAAACTGAAAGGTTGTGGAATGAAATGAGAAAAGAAAATATACACATTTATTTCAATCCTGAGATCATTTTAACTGCTGTCAAAAGCTATTTAGGAAAATCATTTTGATAGATGATTAATAACAATAAAGCATATCTGACTAGATTTCATTCTTTTACAGCCTATTTTGACTTTTCTTTCCATGGATATATTCAAGATAGAATCTATTTTAAGGAATTGCCTTTAAATGAAAAGTTGTCCAAATATGGCTTAAGATGTGACTTAGAGTATTAATTTGGTGAAGTGCCACAAAATTATATTCAAGGTACTATTTGGTAATAGTGGTTTACCTTCCTTCTCTAAGTAGCATTAAATCTACCTACCTAATCAATTATCTTGGGGGACAGGGGTGCATTCTCTCTATGTGCTTACAAGAAATGCCAGCATAAAAACATTTCTCTGATTAAGTTATAGAACGGTACTGAAAGAATGAAGTGCAGAAAGTATGAGAACAAAGTTTCAACAACCAGTTGGTCTGCGGCCCCAAAATGGCTAAGCTAAAGCATTACAAAAGTCTCGCAGAAGTTCCTTTCTGAATTCACAATGCCCAAAAGATATACTTAACAATGCTGTTTATGTAATTAGGTCCAAAAAACTTAATAAGTACTGTGTCCTAACAACTCAGCCTTAAAAATATGCATACATAAAATGAAAGAAAAATATTTTATTTCATTCTTAAATAACCATGGCTACTTATTACTGGGATACATGACGTGTCTACTGGGTATTGCACAATTTCTAAAACATTAAATTTAGATTGAACCCTGCCACTGTCATTTCCTCTTGCACACTGATTTTCTTGTGGTACTTCCTTCTTACCATAGCAGAAGCTAAAAGTCCAGCTTCACAAAGATATGACATCACTATGAGGAACGTAGCCCAATCTAATATGTTGAAATTGCAATGTAGCTTTTGAGTTCATGCAGTATCAAATAGATGTTGAATATCACTGTATTCACTCAAATTTTTAAACTATTTCATGACACCCCTCTGAATTTGCTATGGGCCCCCAGGGTGCCTAGGCACATTGGGAATAGCAGTCTTAGTATCTTTTGGCTAAAGTCCTGGTTAAGCAATTTACTTCCTATTTTAAATGCTTAAATTTACCCAAAGCCTCAGATTGACAAAACAAATAGATCTGCTCTTAAACCAGAGACTCTGTAACTACCTATACCTTGATGTTTTCCCTCGTAATACAACCTTGAACTTGGTGGATGTCAAATCTTTGAAAAGAATCCAGCTGAGACAGAAAACTATCCAAAACGACAGTACCATACACTCTCAACCTGGGAGACAAGACAATCTATCAGAACCTCTCAGAGGGAATAAGGGGGACCAGAAATCAAGAAGAATACAGTTGACCCTTGAACAACAGGGGTTCGAACTGTGTGAGTACACTTACATGCAGATTTTTTATACAAAATTATTGAAAAAAATTTTGGAGATCTGTGGCAACTTGAAAAAACTTGCAGACAAAGCTAGCAGACTAAAAATATCAAAAACATTAAGAAAAAGATATGCCATGAATGCATAAAATATACGTAAATACTAGCCAATTTTATCATTTACACCATAAAATATACACAAATCTATTATAAAAAGTTAAGATTTATCAAAACACACACAAACACTTACAGAATGTATATGGCACCATTTGCAGTAGAACTATAAACAACATAAAGATGAAGCATTAAATCATAGCTGTATAAAATTAGGCATAGTACATACTATATATGTAAAGTCGCTATTATGGTGAGCTCAAGTGTTACCAGTATACACTTTGAATGTCACGTGACTTTAATCATCACCACACGATGATCGGTTCTTCTCTCCAGTACAAATTAATCTCTCACAGTTCTCACATATATTTCATCATGTTTAATGTAATACTGTAAACCCTGAATAACATCATGGGACCCATATGAAATGCCACTAGTGATGGTGGAAGTGCTCCCAAGAAACAT